AGCCACCTATTCAGCATCTACTGCATTTCCAGGTCAAATTAATATTTTGCCGACAAATTTAAATTGCCGAAATATTTTGCCGTAAAATGTTAACGAAAAGAGTAAAACATTAACCAAATGGGTAAAAAATTAAATTTGTCGGCAAAATATTAATTTTACCTGGAAATACTGTAGTTTACCAGCATTGACATCACCATAATTTCAACAACATTTCGCCGCTAAGATCCTTCGGGACCATTTTACACTCTTTTCCTCGAGTACCCCTTAACACCTCACCTCAGTAGTGACGTGCTTCCTAAAAGCCTGCTTCAAGACGTCCACAAATCTATCGCTATCATGTGGCACTTCATCAGCCCCCAAACTTTCACTAGCATGCCGATACACTTCACTATACATGCCCGCTTTAAACACGTCCTCTACCAAAGACTTTACCACGCCATCCTTAAATCGCCAATGCGCAGCAACATAGTTCGGCTCCGGCTCTTCGTAACCCTCATTCTCCGTCGTTTGCATTTTCTTAGCCATTTTCTGTCGGCGCTTCGTCATTCTAACACGCCTTCGCGCGCCCCAAAATTGTGACATGTATCGATTATATTCCCCAATGAAAACCCTACACGAACAAAACACGACCACCTTCCATAGTAAAGTCGACCCCCACTTTTTCTCCTGCAGTTCGAGAGCCCTTCCTTTGACAATTCCCTCCCTCGAAAGCAACTTCGATGAGGAACTGCGACGACCTTCCCCTCAAAACTACCGCTGTGAGGCTCACCCAATGCTGTCAGCCTCAGGTCTATGCTGGGTTGGGCGGACCCCACATGAAGCTTTATAATACTCCCACATACTCTCTGCGGTCTGCGGCTTTGGAAGATGCTGTACAGCAGACTGAAGACACCGTTATTATGAGGCGACCAACATCGCCTCATCCTTCCCTCGTCACCTTTAACCACTCACTATACTCGACGGGAGCCTGTGCTCTACCGCGACCAACCGAGGGATGTTCCCTACGACTTCTACCACTCCTCGAACGGGCGGCTTTGGGGGCACCTAAGTCACTGAACCTTCCACACTCTCAGGCAGCTCTGATGAGCAACAACAATGGCGCTTCGGGGAGCCCAACAAAGCATATCAGCTTTATCCCTCTAGATGGACTGTATTCCTACGTCGGTGTCCTCTTCAACTCACCTACTCCCTCGCATTGAGCCCCCCCGGCCTACCCCCATCTACTCTTCCTCCTCGCCTCAGTCGTCTAACCCTCTCCAACGCTGCGAGGATATCAGCATTACCCTCCACTGTGGCATCGGACATCCTCAAGCCACTTAACCTCAACAGGCCTCCTCTCATCACGACGACGACACGAAGAGGCATACAGAAGGAGAAGAAACCTCACTACACAGTAGCCAGATTCAGGGTGGGAGAATATGCACATGTTCAACTACAAGTCTTGGTGAAATTATGGAAATTCTGAGAAAAAATTTTTGCTGCTTTCTGTGCACTTCTACCCGAATTCGTATGTGAATTCCTACACCTTAACGGAGAAACTCTTGAACTCAGGTGAGCTAAGTGGACATATACTCCAACCCTGGCCGACTTCCTATTACACTACTACGCACAACCTAAGAACTCCATTTCGTGTCACCACGATAGAGTTGAAATTTTGTATCAAGATCCTCCCAACACTATTATATTGGAGTTTCACCACCCTAGTGATATGAAAAACA